GTGTGGGGGTGACGGGGGGGTGGGGGGGTCTGACCTGACAGTGATGAGTTGGTTTAAAGTTGCATGTACCTGTCAGTAAACTAATCGTGGGTGTCGGCCCCTCGGTGTGTCAGTGTCAGTCTACTGTGGTCCAGACTGGAATATCTCGACTACTGCAGAGATTACTGTGGTATTTATGATACCACACTGAACTGGCTGCACACTTTCTGGCCAATCTGTAACTACGATTTTTTTTTACAGGCGGTAGGACAGGTCGGTTTGAATGATTAACGCTTACAACTTTCTGTAAAAAAAAAAAATTAAATAATGGTAATAATCTAGAGAGATGGATGGATTCTATTATTCTGTAGGAAAATTTTGTGGAAAAAAAATCATGTTCTAGATCAGTGGTTCCCAAGCCCCGGTCTGCAGACTGGTACCAGTCCGTGGGCCAGTAAATACCAGGCCAGTAGAGAAAGAATTATTTCCATTTTTACTTTCTTCATTTAAAGTGAATCCAACATTTTTTTTCAAAATAATAGCCTTAAAGATGTTTTATTTTGAAAGAGCACCAATCCTTTATCGATCCTTCAACGGTCAGCGTGGCACTTCCAGTCTGCCGTACTGGTCAGTACCGATACGGACCAGTCTTTGGTATATTCATGCTCTAGATCACGAATGTCCAACTCAGGGTCCGTGGACCAAATGTGGCCCGTCACATCATTTTATGTGGCCCACCAGAGTTTTTACCAAAAACACAAATCTCCTATAATGTACCTTGGTTTTTGTGACCCACATCCTGGTGATGCAATAGACCGGTTCAATAAATGTCCAGCCCCGTTTGGCCCACAACCTAGACTGCGTGTTTGATCAGTTATACTTAGATTTGGATTGATTGTCAACACGCTGACCTCAAATGTTTGTTTTCCTTGGATGTTTATCATGAAGGATCGATTCTCCCGTGGATTTATCTAAATACAACACGGCACCTCCTTAAAGCACCGCATTCCACAGCCTTTGGTCAACAAATGCTCTTTATTATATGTCATTTCCTGTGAATTTTCTTTGTTTTGTTATACGTCATTTCCTGTGAATTTTCTTTGTTTTTTCGTATTCGTTTGACTGAAAGGTCATCAGTCAATATTTAGGCTTCGGAGTTTTTTGTCAAAACGTCTCTCTGCTTCCCGTGAGAGTGACCGTTTCATTTGTTCTGCAGCGCCGCAGTAGGCAGAAGGGGGCAGGTTGTCTGACGGAGCCTTGATGTGGTCATGGTGAGGGGTAATGAGCGAGACCAGAGGGAAACCTCTGGTCTGTCTGCAGCTCTTCAAGAGTTAAGTTAAGAACTCTTACTTCAGGGTTGTCATGGTGCCGTGGCTCTGGCTGTGATTTAAACTCACTCTCCCATGAGCGAGGCCGGTCTCTGCGGCTCAGGTCAAGAGTTAGTCCTCGTCCACTCCAGTGCACTCTGTCTGGTCAGTGTGTGTGTGTGTCCCTGCTCCGCTCTCCTGGCCCCGCGTTGACACACACGGCTTGGCTTGTGGAAAAATTCACCTCCTCGAGAATCCCTCACACGTCTTTCCCAGCGTGAGGGATTCACCGTGAAACCACGATCTGAATGACAGCTCTGCTAAAATAAAAATAAACCTCCAGGTTGTGTAACAGTGGGCCGTAGGGATCTGAACTGAATTGTCCAGCGATGAGATAAGAAGTTAGAGACGATCCCTAACACAGAATTGCAGGGTTTTGTATGTTTTGGGGGATGGGGGAGTTATTTTTTTCATTGAGGATTTGAGGTTCTTTGCACTAAATCCTCTCCTTGTCCTCATGTTCCTGCAGTTCATTTGGTTCTTGGCAGAGAACGTACAGTTAGAAGTCGGCCTGTCATATTCACTGAAGTTAAAATACTTCGGCTGGTACTCATCCTACTCATCAGTTCACAGGAAACTGTAATTAATAAACGTTAAAAAAAACCCAGTTCAAAGCTGAATTCTATGTTTTTCTAGAATGGTCACAATCTAGATCAGGGTGTCAAACATACGGCACACAGGCCAAAACCAGCCCGCTTGAGGGTTTCAATGCGACCCGCAGGAAATGTAATCAAATTATAATCAA